ACTCAGTTCAGGAGCACCTGAAAATCTCTGGGGTGAAGCTCTTCTTTCTGCTTGCTTCATTCTCAATAGGATTCCCCAGAAAAATTCTGATACAACTCCTTATGAATATTGGAAGGGGAGGTCTCCTAATCTGAATTTCTTCCAGGTTTGGGGTTGCTTGGATAAAGTAGCTATTCTCGAACCTAAGAAGAGAAAAATTAGTTCTAAGACTATAGATGCTGCTTTTATTGGATATGCACTAGATAACAATGCTAACAGATTTCTAATCATCAACTCTGAAATCAGTGACATATCTAACAATACCATCATTGAAGCAAGAGATGCAGTCTACTTTGAAAACATCTTTCCTTTCAAATCTAAAATCTCAGAATATCCCAAATCATCCATTCCTTCTGATCTACCATCCTCCAGTTCTTCTCAAACTCTTGATATTGAACCTCGAAGAAGCAAAAGAGGTAGAATCGAAAATGATTTTGGAGAAGACTTCCTTACCTTTCTTGTTGAAGGTGATCCAAGCTCATTCCAAGAAGCAATGGATTCACCTGAATCTCCTTTCTGGAAAGAAGCCATTGATAATGAAATTAAATCTATCATGGAAAATCATACTTGGATACTCACCGACTTACCTCTAGGTTGTAAACCTATTGATTATAAGTGGATATTCAAGAAGAAACTCAGAGCTGATGGTTCCATAGATAAATTTAAAGCTAGATTAGTAGCTAAATGCTATACTCAACAAAATAGCATTGATTATTTTGATACCTATTCTCCTGTAGCCCGAATCTTAACTATCAGAGTATTATTAGCCTTTGCTGCTATACATAAGCTAATCATACATCAGATGTATGTCAAGACTGCTTTCTTGAATGATGATTTAGATGAAGAGATCTATATGCACCAACCTGAAGGCCTCATTGCCAAGGGTCAGGAAAACAAAGTCTGTAAGCTTGTTAAATCTTTATATGGTCTTAAACAAGCTACTAAATAATGGCACCAGAAATTTGACAACATCATTGCACAATATGGCTTCACTGTGAATGAACACGATAAATGTGTCTATTCTAAAGTGATAAACAATGACTATATCATTCTCTGTCTCTATGTTGATGATATCCTTATCTTTGGAACAACACTTGAATTAATTTCAAAGGTTAAGGATTATCTTTCTAAAAACTTTGATATTAAAGACTTAGGTCTTGCAGACATTATACTTGGAATGAAAATCTCTAGAGACACTAGAGGAATATCTTTGAGTCTTTCCCATATCATTGAGAAAATGCTAATCAAATTCAACTTTCATAACTCTAAACCTGTTTCCACACCTTATGATTCTTCTATATCCTTGAAGAAGAATGAAGGTGATCATGTCTCCCAATTGAGGTATTCTCAGCTGATTGGATCTCTTCTTTACATATCCAACCGGACCAGACCCGATATAGCCTATGCTGTAGGGAGACTGAGTCGGTATACTAGCAACCCTAGCAAAGATTATTGGACTGCCTTAGAAAGAGTATTCAAATATCTGAAAGGCACAATTGACTATTGCTTGACTTACACTGGTTACCCTGATGCTATAGAAGGGTATAGTGACGCCATCTAGGTCACGGATTCGAACAATATAAAGTCTACATCTGGATATGTATTTCCTTTTGGTGGTGCAGCTATATCCTGGAAATCTTGTAAGCAAACTGTAATTGCCAGGAGCACCATGGAGTCTGAATTGATTGCTCTTGATACTACTTGCACAGAAGCCGAATGGTTAAAAGATCTTCTCTCTGAACTTCCTTTGGTTCCTAAACTCTCTCCTCCTATTTCCATTCACTCTGATTCTAGATCTACCATAGAGCTTCTAAAGCAAGTACATGTAAATAAAAAACATAAAAAACATATTCAAATAAGATATAAGTCTGTACAACGCATGTTAGACAAAGTTGTGATCTTGGACTTTGTAAAGTCTGAGAAAAATCTTGCTGACCCTTTGACTAAGGGATTATCCAGGAGTGTGGTTCTGGATTCATCGAGGGAGATGGGGTTAAGCCCATAAATAAGGTCACTAACAGCGGCAACCCAATCCTTATTTGGAGACGTAGTCCCAATGTCGGTTCAATGTGGTAAAAACAAGCTGGACAAGTAACTCTCGTGTGGAGCATCGACCTAGATATATTTATATATCATTATGTAGCATTTTCTACTACCTCTTCTATATGATGACGATGCTCTTATGATACAGCTGGCTAGGCTGAATTTTACTCTTAATAAGTCCAACGTGTGTATTATGGGGGGTATTAAATAAACAGCTGTAGTACCCTTTGAGGACTTACCTACGTGAGAGGAACCGTGATGGCCGTGGTTGGGGGGGCCAGGGCTGACCCCTAGAAACTCTCATGGGTCGATTTTTTGTGAGCATGACCTTTAACGCTCAACCCGCTTAGCTCAATAGATGAAAACATATTGTGTGTGTTTTTATCAATACCTGATCCAATGAGCCTAATTCAATGCCTAGTCCATTATGTCCCTCAGGTGGTGATGAACTCACTAAGGAAAGGTTCAAAGCCGAAAGCTACCTCTCCCGAATTCACGATACGAAAGGTTGCCCAACCTATATTTTTTTTTTGATTTATTTATTGATTTATTATTTTTGAATTTTTAGTCAATATTGCCTTTTGGGGGGACTGTTAGATGCTTTGTTCATGAAAAGGCAATTTTGCCTTTGTGAATAGTCCCACATTGAAAAATGAGATGAATAGTATATGGTATATAGTGGTTCTCTTTTTATTGGGCTTTGAATAGTGTTTTGAGTTTTGTGGGCTTTGCATATCTATCTCTCACACACGCGTGCGCGCGAACGCACGCCACGCCTCGCCACGCCTCTCCCGCACGCGCGCGCCACGCCGCACCGCACACGCACATATTTTTGCTTCTCAAGTTTTTATTTTTGCACGTTTTACACGTTCTGTAACGGCTGCATGCGGGTAACGGAAGCAAGATTTGTGCGTAACAGTCCCTTGGATTCAGCGGGGGTTACACTTCTCCTCACCTATATAAGCAGGCTTGGAGCTCATTCAGAGACACACCAACGAAGAGAAGAACAATTTCTAAGCTCTCTTCTTTCTCTCCTCTCATTTTTCCAAGAAAATTTCGGCTACATATTTATATTTATATTTTGGGCAACCGTTTTCGTCTGAGCATAAGCTCTGTGACTCACGTCCGAGTACAGAGTCCGGCCGATTCCGAGGGTTTTTACCGCTAGGGGAGAGGGGACAGATTGCGCCAGAGCGATAGGCGGGTCCTTAATCTTCTAGGACAGTGACATCACGACTGCTCCTGATCAGGCCTGAATTTTCTAACTCTTTAATTTGGATTTTCTATTATTATATTCCTGTTATGACAACAATATATTTTAAAAATTACTTTCAACGGACCCATCAAGATAGTGCATAAATATAATTTATGGGTTTTATTTTCTTCTTCTTCTTTTTTTTTTCCTTTAAGCGGCCACATTTTGAATCACTTATATTTAGAAATATATTTTAAAAATTAGAATTTGATTAGTATTAGAATAGTTTAACTTTATAGGGGTATTTTTGTCTATCGAATTTTTTTTCCAAATTCGTGATTTTAAAGGAAGTATGAAATATAAATAATAATTTTAAAGGAAGTGTGCCGTGTAAGCGTGATTTTAAGATAAGAACATGTTGTAGATATATTTTAGGCAAATGACGGTAGATTTTGATTATATAACTATATTATATTATATTATATTTCTATTTCTACTGCCTTGGCCAACAAGTAGGTGCTGCGCCCTGGAAGCTGGACGATATTTTGACCGGGATTCTGGTAGATGCAATTTGCGATCCGCTACAGCGTTCAATCCTAAATAAGAAAAAAAATCCCATAGTCTTTCCACCACGTGTACTTTACTATTCGCGCCAATGCTAGCATGTTGAAGATACACACACGTGTCTAGCATATGAAACCATCGTATCTTTGTACACAATCCAAGCTTTGTGCGAGTCCAAACAGCAGTACATGGATCAGAGTAATTTGGCCGTACTGAACCGTCGCTGACATTTGAAGAAAGTAAAAACTTCCTTCCAGTACCTAATGCGACTTTTTTTTAAACCCAACCCCTTTGTCAAAAATTTGAGTCCTTTATTACCTCAAGCTTAGGTACCAAATGCTTATACTATACTTATCTGTATTCTTAAGCACCTCTTATCTTTGCATCTCTCTAAAACATAACAATTTTTTTTTTGTTGCATAATTTGATATCTCCTCACTTGTTTTTTTCAGTACTCATATACCCTAATGTTTTAAAAAAGTGCACTTAAGTATCTTGAAGTTTTCAAAACTTGCACTTAAATACCTTCAATTATGCAAACTTAAGGGTATTTAAGTGTAAACTTTAAAAACTTTAAGGTATTTAAGTACTACTTTATAAAAATTTAGGTTATTTAAGTGTAATTTTTAAAAAATTTAGGATACGTAAGTTCTAGCAAAAATAAATGAAGGTATATAAATGAAAATTTTAAAAATGTAGGGTATATAAGTGCTACCAAAAACCAAAAAGGTATATAAGTGAAAAACAGTGAAAGCATGTTGTATTTAAGTGCAAGTAAGTCTAAAAAAATACTCAAATTTCTGCAATGTAGAGGGGGCTCATGACTTTTTTTCCCGATATTTCAATTTGGGTTGTGTATCTTTGATAAGTGGGCCCTAGTACAAATAAACTTCGAAACAGGGGCTTGATATAATTCTCCCTGAAGAAAACAAAAGGACGACTAGGAGGCAGCACAGCATCTTCGTGGCTGCTTCAGTGTCTTTTGAAAGTAGGGTTTTTTTAAAAAAAATTTGTTTTCTCATAAAAATTCGTGGTTTTTAATTTTTCTCTTCTTCTCCTCTCTTTCGCCCGCCGCCATCAAAAGCCCGCGTGCGCCGAGCCCGTAAAAGGCCTGCAGCCATCTTCTCTCTTTTGAGAGGTAAGCAATTACTCCACTAACCTCGACAAAGGAGAGATTTTTTTCAATCATTTTCGGATTTATAGATCCAACCCATTGATTATACTTTAAACCCTCAATCTCTGGAGTACTCTATGCTGTTCAATTGTACTCATGTTTTGTTTATGGTGTTGGGTTCTCTCAGAAAACTTGAGTTATTATTTTTGAGCTTTGGTCTGTAATTGTTGCGAGGATAGATTCGTGATTGAGCTAACATACCCTTTGAATTATTATATATAATTTGTGATAGATATTTTTAGAACTTCTAATAATTATCTAATTTGGTATGGAGCTCTGTGTCTTTCTTTTATTTCCCATTTTTTGCTGCTTTAAATCTTTTTAGTTATCATTTAGGGGAATTAAAAAAATCCATTATTTGCAGGAAACTAGAATCATTTTACTCCTAAACACCAAAGTTTACACCTTTTTTGAATTTGATACCTCAAAGTATTTTTTGGCCTAAAAATATCCCAAGGTTCAAAAAAAAAAGATATAACTTTGAGAGGTATCAAAGTTAATCTTTTTTTAAATCTTTTGTGAACATTGGGACATTTTGTGTGCAAAAGATAAAATAAAATAGAAAAAACCAGGGTGTAAAGGTAATAACTGGTGTAAGTTATGCGGTATTAAGTGAAAATAACCTTTATTAAATGTAAATTCTTCAAATGAAAATACGTTCGACTATGAAACCCCAGTCTTAATCTAAATAGGTTGGATTTTTTGTTATTATCACTAATTTATTGCAAAACAGGATGCAAATGAAGTGTTTTTTGTAATTTCTTTATTTAAAAGTTATGTTTTCCTCTTCAATAGGCTTTTTGGTACATGCTGTTCAATCTCAATCATTGACGAAACAGTCCGTTCTGTGGAGTGAGCATGGTATATCAATTATAATTTTTTTCTTGTTTATGATGCCTTCTAATTTTACTCCGTTGTATACAATTTAAGTATGGATAATTAAAAAGATATTGTGTAGTTGTTTCTTCTATCTGGATCAACTTGATCCGTTTGGTTAGTCAAATAAATTTTATGTAAACGTTGTAAGCTTGTAGTTGTTTATGTCATTTTACTTGGCGGGTCATGTTAGATTTAGTAGTATTTAGTTATTGGGTTAGTGGGTATGAACCTTTGAGTTTCTATTCAGTTGTATCTCTGTATATTACTCACTTCTAATAAATAATAGTTATATGAGTGTTTCATGACTGTCCGGTCATATCTCTATATATTACTGTTAGTAGTTATCTGAGTGTTTCATAACAGGTCAAATGTCAAATGGGCAATAACACAGAGTTAAATTTAAAAAGTGATTGTAGGCATGTCCTTTTGGTGAAAATTATTAAGTTAGCTTTGGTGAGAAAAAGACATTACAGGAGATAATTGTTTTCAATGACCAATATAAAGGAACTAGGATCATTATAACTGTTTATGCCTATGGAATTCTAATTGGGAGACCCGAGTTCATGTAGATTGCTTAGGCTTTAATTGCCAGAATACCTCAGCCAGAATCTTTGAGACAAGGATGTAAATATCCATAGATGTCTGCGGTTCTTTTTCTCCCTGCCAAGTGGCTTTAGTGGGTTATCGGTTCCCATAAGTTACCTCAGCAAAAAATTAGTGGGAAGTCGTGGAGAGATGAGACTTGCGACCAGTCGCAAGCTTTTTGTTAATTCTCCTTTTGTGCTGTTATGATTTCATAGTTACACTGTCCTGCCCAAGTCCAGTCTGATAAGAGTTGGATGACGACAATGATGAGTTTGCAATGTTTTTTATTTTATTTATACTTTTTTTTGATAGATATTGCAAAGCATATTCCGAGGTTTTGAACTTTCACATTTCTCCATAGGCATCTTATTATAAGATTAAATTGAAATCTCACCAAGTGAATGTTAGAACTTGGTTTTTGGTAGCTGATGTTAATTCATGTTCCATAAGCTGTACCAAGTTCTATTGAAAGAAATGACCTAAAGTATATTGTTGATTCTTTTGGTTATAGGGCTTTCTCATCACATGGTTGCTAATTCCAGTAGTAGGCAAGTCAAGGGAGTATATTTGAAAAGGAAAAAGGAAAAAACATTGGAGTATTGAATTAGGCTAAAACTGGATAATACAGCTTTCTGCATTTATCGGTTTTACTCAAGCTTTATGCATAATATGTTTCTCTAATTTGGTAATTTGTACTCATCCACCAACAGAATGAGCTCCTTATAACTAGTTCTACGATGTTAGCTTCTAGACTTGAACTTGCTAGTTTTGAACCTTTCAAATTTCAAAAAATTCTCTTTCCTATTGTTATCCATTTCTTCCTTGAAATATTTATGGCAATTATGTTTCCTTTAATTGGGTTAATATTCATATTCAGCTTCACTTGCTGCTTTATATGAATATTTATTTCTTAATGGCATAAAATAATCTTTTAGTTACTCAGGTATAGTCTTCTATGATATCTGAAGTAAATCAATAACATCTGCAATTTTCTCTTCGCTTTTGTTGTTGTTTTCTTCTTCTTCATATGTTTATGTTTCTTTGGTTACAGGTGTCTCAGTCTGGATCCAGATAATAATAAATAACTGATCATGTTGAGAACCAAGCAAATTAGCACTCTTTCGCAGTGCGCTAGGACTTTTTATCTCAGTGGCACAAGATGCGGTGGTGCTGATGGAGCTGCGTGTTCTTGCTCTGATGATGATTCTTCTATTAAGGGGAAAACGCCTAATAGAACCGAGCTATCTACTGATGTGGTCACTAAAGCGAGATCTCCTGGTTTAAAAGATGCATTTGGGCCTGTGAATTATCTCAGCCCTCAGAATCGTGCAGTTGTAGGTTCAGGCCCTCAGAATCGTGCAGTTGTAGGTTCAGGCCCTCATGTTAAAATCAATTCTGATGGGGATACCATTGAAGCTCCTCAGAGTTGTGCGATTAATTCATCAATGGCTACTCAAAACTTTGTTAAGGCAGGTGTTGCAACTGTTGGCATGCTTTCTGAGTTAATTAATTATAGGATCCCAAGAGCAGATGACCATGATGATCATCTCTCAACCTCGAATTATGTGATCAACAATACTCCACCAGTTTCTAATACAAGGTCAAATAATGGAAAATCTCGTAACAATGCAAAGTATTCCAAGGTCCAGCCAAGCTCCTCTATCAGCACTGAAGAAAGATCAAATTCTAATTCATCACCTTCTCAGAATAATAATGGAGTCAAATATAGCACATGGAGAACAAAATCTAAGCAAAATAGTCCAGGAACTTCTGCTGGGGTTCATAGATCACAGTCAAGCATACCAGACCAAAGACATCCAGTGCAGCAGAGCGCAAATTGTGACTCTGACACAAGATCTGGAACTAAAATCTCTGATAGGCATATTAAATCTTCTACTAAGTTTCATCATCCAACGAGAAATGCCAGATTCCAAGCTGGAGGTTCTCTATCTGGTACTCGATCTCTACATTCAGTTCGTGCAGTTGAGCTATACCATCACACTCTGCAACAGTTGAAATGGGGGCCCAAAGCAGAGGAAACCCTTGACGGTCTTCAATGCAAATTAGATGTTTTCCAAGCAAATCAAGTGCTAAAACTTCTCCGTGATCATTCTGTGGCTCTCGGGTTTTTCAAATGGTTGAAGCATCAGGCTGGCTTCAAACATGACGAGCATACTTACACCACCATGATCGGCATCCTCGGGCAAGCTAGGCAATTTGGTATAATAAAACGACTTTTAGATGAAATGAAAAGAGATGGATGCTTTCCGACTGTGGTCACATACAATCGGTTGATCCATGCATATGGCCGTGCTAATTACATATCCGAGGCTGTTGAAGTATTTCACGAGATGCAAGAACTTGGTTATGAACCTGACCGAGTCACCTACTGCACTCTAATTGATATCCATGCAAAAGCTGGATTCTTAGAAGTCGCTCTTGATTTATACCGAAACATGCAAGAAGTCGGTCTTTCTCCTGACACTTTCACTTATAGTGCGATGGTAAACTGCCTTGGGAAAGCTGGACATCTTGCTGCTGCTTATAATCTATTCTGCGAGATGATCGACCGTGGATGCATCCCTAATCTAGTGACATACAACATTATGATAGCTTTACAGGCAAAAGCAAGAAACTATCAGAGCGCAGTGAAGCTTTACAGAGATATGCAAGCTGCTGGATTTCGCCCGGATAAGATAACTTACAACATTGTGATGGAGGTCCTTGGCCACTGTGGGCATCTGGATGAAGTGGAGGCCGTGTTCCTTGAAATGCAACGGGATTGGATTCCTGATGAACCTGTCTATGGTCTTCTTGTGGACATGTGGGGCAAAGCTGGGAAAGTGGAGAAAGCACGAGCTTGGTTTCATTCAATGCTCGAAGCAGGCTTGAGGCCTAATGTACCAACTTGCAATTCTTTGTTAAGCGCGTTTATTAAGATGCAGAGGTTCTCCGATGCACATATCGTGCTCCAGAATATGATTGGTATGGGTCTGGTTCCATCTCTTCAGACCTACACTCTTCTTCTCAGCTGCTGCACCGATGAGATAGGCTCTAATATGATATCATGTAGCAAGCTTATGGCTATAACCGGCCACCCGGCTCATAATTTTCTACAGTCTTTACCTAATGCTGAGCCTGGTGGGAAAAATGTTCGAGACCATACTAATCGGTTCTTGGAACTGATACATAGTGAAGACCGGGAGAGCAAGAGGGGTCTTCTTGATGCCGTAATCGATTTCCTTCAAAAGTCGGGTCTCAAAGAGGAGGCTGGATTTATATGGGAGGTTGCTGCACAAAAGAATGTGTACCCTGATTCAGTAAGAGAGAAGAGTTCGTCATATTGGCTTATAAATCTCCATGTTATGTCTGAAGGGACGGCAGTTATTGCATTATCGAGGACTCTGGCTTGGTTTCAGAGGCAAATGTTGGCCTCGGGATTTGGCCCTCGAAGGATTGATATTGTAACGGGATGGGGGAGGAGGAGTAGGGTAACAGGATCTTCTTTAGTTAGGCAGTCTGTTGAGGAGCTGCTGCACTTATTTAGGTTTCCTTTCTTCACTGAGAATGGCAACTCTGGGTGCTTTGTTGGATGTGGAGAGGCCCTTAATCGTTGGTTGCTCAATTCGTATGTCGATCGTATGCATTTGTTGTAGGTAGTGATGTTGCTTAATTGTTATGTGGTGCAATTTTGTAAGTTATGGAGTGCATCATTGGGTTTGAACAATGTAGCAAGTTATTAGAGATATCAGAGCTTTTGCAATTCATCATTGTCATGGTATCAACATGATCGTTATTATTCTATAAGATTTTGTTCTTTTCTGATTGACTTCCTTTTGCAGATCTTAAATTTATGTGCTAATTGCACACTGACCCACTGTAGTATCGCTATTTTGGACTTGTTACTTATTACTCCTGTTGTTTCATTGTTGCAGATGTACCTCCTGGGTTAAATTTTTTACTCTTACCCCCATATATACTCACTAATTTCATCCATAGGCAATATTTGTCAACATCTCACCCAGGGCAAACGAGTAAAAGTAAATTTACCCAGGGGTTCTATTTATAATAATGAAACTATAGGCGTATTGGGTTCGTAAAAGCTATACTGCATGGGGTCTATGTGCAAGCCCTGGATTTATTGATGAAAGACGATTGTTTTCAAGTTCAGGTGTACAGAATCTCTATTATCCTTTTGGTACACGTAGACACCGCAGGAATGGTGTATATAAGTGTAACCTACCTCTTCTTATTCTGTTATTTGATATCTGGAGTGAGTTGGTGTTTTGCTTGTTATTGTAATGTAAAATTTTGAGAGCACAATATGCCTGCAAAAAAAAAAATGTTGCTCCAGAGAATCATCTATTTTACTGTAGAACTCGTCTATTTTGCTGGGAGCCAGTTCCCTTACTAATTATTTCTCTTGTTCTATATTTTACCTGAACAATTTTTCCTCTTGTTCTATATTTTACCTGACTAACTATTTCTCCTCATTTTGTATAGGTTTTACTACTGAAAAGCCATTTAAAACTGCAAGGCACAGACATAAAACGAAGGTAACACTTGCCTTGCTTATATGTATCTCTTGCATTCATTTTCACTTTGCTTTACGCACACAGTCAAAACTTTTATAAGAAAAAAATGCACAGTATTAAGTTCAGAATATCCAATCAGTTCTGTTTGATGGATTGTGATTACTGACGAAAAAGCCATAATGTATATTATAATTTGACTATTCATTAGATGTGAGAGTCACGAAAAAAATTACTTGTGGATGCTGTTCCCTGCACTTAATCAGTTAGTATCAGTGTTATATGGATACAAGATATGGATATCTGATACTGATTACGGTTATATTTATAACTGTGTATGCAGGTATGTATATAAACAGCTGACATAAATGTAAAACGTTATCAAATAAAGAAATAAGTGTTAAGTATTTTCTTAAAGTTTATGAAGTATTATTAAGCGTACAATTGTCTGAATATCCTCAATGGCTCAAAGATGTAAAGTTTTAGTATTGTGGTTATTGATGCGGGAGCTCATGCAAGAAAACTTATCAAGTGGTATGTTCCTTTACTTAGTAGCAGTGTGTTGTATGGGCAAGGGATATGGGTATCAATTGTCTGATACAAGGATTCTGAAATTTGATACTGATCCCTGATTATACTTTACTCTTCATATCATGCAAATATGTATGGTCATAAATTTAAGGAGTGATAAACTAAAGAAGTTAGCGACAAAAAGTGTCTTGATGTTGAAAAAGTTTTATTAGGTATTAAGCGTATTGTTTGGCAATAACGTTAGATATGCAAACCTACTAGCTGTGGTTTTCGTTTCCCTGTTCGCATCAACATGCAGTGCAGAATTGGTGAAGTTTCTGAATAAACTAAGGTGCGGCTTACATCCAACCAAATCTTATGATGCTGCTTTGTTAAACAGTAATATGGGAGTGAAACTTGGATATTGCAACTGATCTTCTTTTATTATTGAGAAAGTCTTCAAAGTGTTTTTGTTAATTTTTGCCGGAGGATTGATCTATCTTTTGCTATTAGACATCGGTCCTGATTAGAAGAATATAGTTGAATTGGGGGTCACTTTTAAAGTATTATATACTGCAATAATGGAATTGATGCCTAGTTTTTGAGTGTTATATACCCAAATAGGCATATCTCTTGCACTTCTAAGTTTCTCTGTGTTCTAGAGGTTGGAACTGAACATTTCCTGCAAACTGATGATCAGAATTCTGTCCAATTTCACTAGCTATAGACTTATAATTTTCCACATGGGATCATTGAACGGTATATTCCTTTGAGAAAAGCGTACCCTGTACTAAAATGCAAACCTTTAACCTTCATATATTGCTTTGCTGAAACTCTGCTTGTCGTAAATTGAGCGGTGGAAACAGAAGTACTGACATATTTTTTTTTACCTTTGCAAAGTAGCTCTTGTTGCTTATTGTTTGACCGAAGGCCAGTGAACCAAGTACTCAAGGGAAAGGATACAACTACCGTGATCGGTTAAGATAATCCTATTTTCATGCAGAGTGTTTTGATATGATTTGTATTTGGGAAACAAGAGCGAAAAGACTCCTGTTACCAAATAATTTTCTAATCATGACAAATTTTGGTAATCAAGTTGCCACCATGAATTATGAAGCCATGGAGATTCCTGGCTTCTGCCAATGGATCGACTCTTGGCATGTTTTTTTTTAATTAATAATCATTTATTTATTTTTTTCCTTTCAAGTTTCTTAGCATGCTAGTGTAATGGGTTTAGCTTCCCCTCCCTTCCATTTATTGGGCCCGCTCTTCTATTCAGGTCCTAAAGAAATTAGGTCTGCATGTGACTGCATCAAAAGCATGAAGTTTTAAAGGCAGAACTTGAACTCGCACAGCTGTATCAAATATTTTAAGATACATTTTAGTTTCATGACCAATAGAATTTGAATCTGGGTTGCTTTAAAACAATCTTAATATTCTTGTAGCTATATCAAAACTCTGAAATTATTGTTAGAGTTGAGGGTTATATTTCTCTAGTGTAACACTCTCAATCCAAAAACGACTTGACTAGTGTATATGGGAGGCGTTGAATTTTATCATAGTAACATGAATTATTAGGGAAGATTGCATAAAACTACTATGTATAATTTTTTTTACTAGCGGAAAAGGGGGAAAAAATTGCATTTTATCGAAATAACCTTTAAAAGATGAATGAACTTGTATGTTATTTAAATGGATACTGGCGGATAATATAAAAGGCTAAAAAAATGTATTTTCCATATGCTAGGGATTTATTTCACAAAACTGTTTAAACTTTGAGGGACTTTGCACATAGTCACCAATAACTTTTTATCGCACACAACCCCCTTAAACTTTTGGTCGTCTCCCAGACTCTTCTGAATTTTTACTCACAGATAATTAGCAAATAACTAAAATATTCTTAAGAGAAAAAAATTTATTAATTCAGTCACTCGTCATTTACTAGTATTATACCCCCTCTCTCCCCAGTTTGGAATATTTTCTCTCAAGGACATTTTGATCATCTGCCAATCACTGATAGGGGGTCCATGGAGAAAAGTTTGAAGTTATTAGGGGGTCATTACGAAACACCCCCATGCTTAGAAGGGCTGTGTGGTATAAAAAGAACAATAGGAGCATTATGTGAAGGAAAACCCTGAGCTTTGGGTGGTTTTATGCCCAAAAATAACAATTTGCAAAATTTGGACCCGCCTTGCTGAGGTGGACCAATCAACAAAAGACTAACAGCAAAGAGCGGTCCCCACCTGTACACAGTACAATCCAGCTCACGACGTTACAAAATCCCGAATAAAAAACCTGTGCTCTCTCTCTCTCTCTCTACCCCTCTCCTCTCTCTCTCTCTCTCTCTCTCTCTCTCTCTCTCTCTCTCTGAAATCTGAATCCGAAACGGAAAAAATGCACTCCGTAGCGTATCGGCTCAACACCCTTGTGAGCTTCTCGGTCCTCCCCTTGGCGTTGATGCTCGCTGCCGCCTCTTTCCTCGATGGGTTCAACTCTCCCACTGTCCAAGCCCATGCCCAGGTAATAATCACCTCTTTCTTTCTCTTGATTATTATTTTTTAGAATGTTGTTTGAAAATTGATTTGACATGGGTCGATATGAACTAAATAAAGAATTCATCGGATGCCCAGTTCAAAAAATGAGTTTAATGGGATGGAGGAAATAGAAAGAGGGTTTTTTTTTTAATGGGTTGATGATTCTTGGAAGGGAAAATGCCCAATTCAAGAAAAAACCCTGTTAAGAAAACCCCACAATTGAAAATAATAAAATTAAAAAGTAAGGATCAATTTAGAAAGGAATTCGTCAAGCATACCCAGTTCAAGAGATAATTGAGAAGAGATGGAGGAAGTTGGGAATTGAGATTGTTTAAGTAGTCAATGTTTTAAAAGGAAAAAAAAACATCAAATTCAAAAACTACCCTATTGAGGGGGACAAAATAAATAAATAAATAAATAAATAAATAAATAAAACCCACATTTTAAGAAAGGAGACCTTGAATGCCCTTTTACAGTGCATATATGTTGAAGAGAGAGAGAGAGAACAACAGAGAATTAGGATTTTACGGTATTGTGACCCTAAAAGACATGATTTTTTCTGTAGCAGAAGTAAATATTTGTAATATAATGTACAAAAGTAATTGTATGTATTTAGCGGGATTTTGTATGGTAAATTAAATATCTAATCACCTTTCCCCCTCCTAATCTATTCATATTTTTTAACATATCATTGGCTCATGGAATTTGATTTGTTATGGGTCTAGGTGAAGCAAATAAGGAATTTATTTGTTGCCCTAGGGTACCCTGTTAATCATTAAGAAAACCCCGCAATTCAACAGAATTGAGGATTAAAGATTTGATTTATTGTGCTTAGATATGGGGCCTTGAAATCTCGCAATTCAACAGAATTGAGGATTAAAGATTGATTTATTGTGCTTAGATATGGGGCCTTCAAATCAGAAAGGGATTCGTCAACATAGGGAGTTCATGAGACAATTGGGAAAGATGATGGGAATAGTTTTTTTTTTGGTGGTGGTGGTGGGGGGGGG